ATCTAGGTTGCTGTTTACTATATTTACTTAAATTATTAGTACTAAACTCCATAGATTCCGAAATATTTGTGGTACGATTTCCTCAATAATTGATTTCGTGTTTCCGCCTATTAAACCGTTTACTCGGAAATCTTTCCGTATTAGGTTAACGGAAGATTGCGGTTGTAGGAATGTAAATTGAGTGCAGTATGTTGGTATTGCCGATTACTACATCGTGCACCTGACAATAACAAACTAGTAACGGTATGAGCGGGCGCACACCTTTGACTAAACCATCGCACAACTGTTGTCCGATTGTCGATTGTTTCCATTCAACTGTTTAGTTGCACAACTAAAAATCCAGTAGAATGCACATCTATATAAGTAAAACAAAGAGAGACTAAACAGTAGTGCAATAGTTTACTAAAACTAAACTGCGCACGCTCTAACAGTAAAACCGCGATAAAAATTATTAAAAAAAACCCTTCAGGCCGACTACTTATTCGACTATGTGTGCATGATAAGTAATGTTAAGAATGAATGTGGATGGCTACAAAGGTAGAAGAAGACCGAAGAAACTATGGATGGATTGTGTGAAAGAGGATATGGTAAAGAAGGGAGTGGATTCAGATATGACGGCTGATAGAGATGTATGGAAGAGCAGCGCTGTGCCGACCCTCCATAAGGGATGAGGTCAAGTTAATGATGATGTAATAAATATAGTAACTTACTTGATACCAACGTTAATCATTAACATCATTTATATATCTCTATAAATAGCTGACCGTGAGCTAAAAATATCTATTTTTGTTGTTCTAAAGTAATCTTTGCTAGGTATTTAATTGGATAATTCGTACATACTATGTAACTTCAATGAAAATGCATTTTTATTACCTTGAAAGATGGAACGTATTTTGATGTTTTTGCTTATGTTGTGTCGAACCTGAATTGGAAGTTAATACACGGAATTAAACCGAAATAGACTGGCTAGATGGCGTTTTCAATTAATATTAAAAACCTTCAAGGATATTTACTTTAAAAGGAGTGACGATATTACTTCTAACATTATAAATGCGTAAGTTGCGATGGATGCGATGGATAGATGGATGTATTAGAGAGTATCTCTAGAACGGCTGTATTAATCTGTGTAAAATTTGGAAGGGATATAGAAAACTGGAATCACACATAAACTAGTTAAGGTTTTTTTTTTAATTTCATGCGAACAAACTCGTGGGCGACAAAAAGTAATTTAATACAATAAATAATTTGTGAATGCAAATAAGTTATACAGATGTTGTTTTTTCAAACAGCTTTGTTTATAGTTTCTTAAGGTAAAATGTAAGCAAGTTACATTGCGGGGTATATCCGTGAATCAGTAGTTAACGGATATGACGTTAGTAACCGGTCACGCAATGTACGCCCACCTGTTACAACTCCGTTATTTAGACCGTTCTGGACACATATGTAATTACATATACCGATCCTCTTTATTATTTAAATATTACCTAACTATTAATACATTTTCTTATTGAAATGTTTATAAAACTATTCTGGATTCTTCTGCAATTTCTATTACACAGAATCCTATATCTAGTATATCTATACTTCTTACTATTATAATAAAGCGTAAACACACACTTCTTTGTTGCCTAAGATGTCAGCAATTACAACATATATTTGAATAATACTTTTTTTAAATAAAAAGCCCTACACTTACGTCACGTTTTAGCCTATATATTTTCTTACCATTAAACTTAGGGGGTAAATATTTTGGATAAAAAACCCTAATGTGGGAAAGAGACCATAAATTGCTGCCAACATCAAGGAAGTAAGCCATGGTTTGTCATCGTGTCATGTCATTTTGACATTTGCAATTTATAATTTGACACATGTAAATAATAAAATTAAATTTTCATAATTTTATGCGGATGAAGTCGCACGGGAACAGCTAGTTCACCATAATTGTAGAAATCTTTGTGGACTGTAGTATCATTATCTCCTCGCCTTTTTTGGCGCGATCTTTCCGTCCTCCAGGTTAAACTATTCCGTAACCTTAGTCGTTACTCCCTTCTTGATCATGTCACCTTTCACGTAATCCATCTATCTCTTTCTATCTCTACCTCCCCACTTATAACTAAAGTTCTTGTGTCAAAACGTCGTCTTAAAATAACCTGTACGTAAACTTGGTCAATAGGCAAACAACACTGAACGATTTTAAACAATGATTTGCAATTTCGCTAATTAATGCCGTTTCATTTTGTACCGCCATTTCCTTTTACCAAGTCACTGTTTATTAGATTTAGAATTTTCTCGATGATTTTAAACAGAAGTTACGAATTTTTTTTCCAGAATTAAAGTATTACAATAATGATTATTGCATATACGAAGAGTAGATACATTATAGTGCGACTAGCTGTCCCATGCGGTCATCCGCATGAAATTATAAAAACTTTATTTTATTTACATTTGTCAAATTCTCAATTTCAAATGTCAAAATAACCGTTACCATAGTAACCTTGCTTAATGTTGGCAGCTTGTAGTTTATGGCCCCTTCCCCACATGAAAGTTTTTTTTTCAAATTTACTTACCCCCTTAGTTTAATAACGTGAAAATATAAAACATATAGCGTGTCGTAAGTGTAGGGCTTTTTATTAAGAAAAGGATTGTTTAAAAATATGCTGTGATTGCCGACATCTTACGCCACGAAGTAGTGTGTGTTTACGTTTTATTATATTAGTATAGAAGTATAGATAGATGAACTGTTCTGGTTCGATAAACAACAGTGGGTTTTTTTTTATTCTGTGATACAATTTTTGACAACTAACCGTGATACCGCGATACCACCATCTGGATAGCCAAATAAATCTGCAGCACTATACCTGCGTTCATTTTCGTCTCATTCGCTTTCGAATAACCTTAATGTGTTTAAAAAAACATAAATATTACCATTAAAACCTCATCATAAACGTTGTCGAATAAACCTCGAACGAAGTATACACGTCAAATTGACTTCGCAACCGTCGTTTTCCCGCCATTGTCACAGGTGACATTTGACCGGCGCATACGCAATGGAAGTCGCGACCTATTACGTTCCTAACCACTCTTAGTTTACATACAATGTGGAAAAATAAAGCCCGTCAAGACAAATGGAAAAAACTAGACGTAATTATATTTCTGTGTACAAGTGTTGTTTTTTTTTGTTAAGTTGTTTAAATCGATTTTATAATTAAATGGCTATTAATAACCGGTATTTTAATTTAATATGAAATATCATATTTAATAGCTTTGTACAACTATTTTTTTGTACTCTGAAATATTAAAACGGTATGTGGTTAAGATTTTTTTTATTGGGAAATAGCTAAGATCCAAAAGTAAGCTAAAGTTACCACTAGATTACTATTTTAAACTAGATTTCGCCCGTGACACCGTCAGGGGTAAAAAACAAACGCCAGTGGCCTATGTGTTCTACCATACTATCCTGTATGTCTATGAAAAAAAATATCGAGATCCGTTTAACAAACTAACAAACATCCATACATCTAAACTTTCACATTTACATTATAAGTAAGATAATAATAATTTAATGACATTTAAAAAATATACAAACGAGGCATAGTGAACAAAACTTTTTCACCGGTACTTTGTCTAGAAGGTACTTTATCAGTTATTAAGTTTAGTGCCCACCTCGTGTTCTTGTATTGTTATCATCATCACCAGCTCACTATACGTCCCTACCGAGGGGCTCGGAGCCTTTTTTTTCACGCTGGGAATATGCCTTTACGCATCCTGGGGCTCGGAACCTACCCTAAGTTAGGGTGACTAGGTAGTCAACCGCGCTGGCCAACTGCGGGTTGGTTGACTTACATACAATAAAACATTTTGCAAAATTATAAAAGCGCTCCATCTTTTGTTATAAAATAAAATATAAACAACTAAATACTATGCAATGATACCTGTTGGCAATTAATTTAAATACATTTAATTATATTGACATGTCATTTTTAGGTTATCATTAGTTATGTGAAAATGTGTTTCAAGTGTAGTAGCTATGAGTCTTCTAAATATTTTCTAAATCTCTTTGTTTTACACAATATATCATTACTTACTTTCAGTGTTCTTGTAGTTATGTGTTATTTTTAAAAGCAATATTGTAATTTTAGATGTATACCGCCATTCTAATTGTTTACAAAATGGCCGTCGCCTGATTGGCTTGGCACGCGAGTTGTTGTCGAGTTATAAACGCTTGTAACCCAATGGAAACATTTGCTTACTGGGATTCGACGAACGGGTCAAATAACAATGATTTATGTTCCTGGAACATAATATACCTACTGCATTGCGGTACAAACTTATGTAACAACTAACGATATTTTGTTTTTCATAATTATGAGCTACTAGCTTTCGCCCGCGACTCTATCCGCGTGTAATTTAAAAATATAAAATTGAGTAGCCTATGAGTTCTTCCAAGCTATGCTCTACATCTGTACCAAATTTCATCGAAATCCGTTCAGTCGTTTGGACTAAACTATACCAATCATCCATCCTTCCATCTAAACTTTCACATTTATAATATTAGTATGATAGAAAATTGCTTGAAAGGAATGCATTGCGTAGACCACAGTATTTCTATAAACAAGGTTTTTAGATCGTAAATGCTATATCTAAATTTGATATTGAAAAAAAAATCTATATTATTGGTAGGGTCCTTTAAGAAGCGAGCCTATTATTCCTTAAAGGCCGGCAACACATCTGTAGTTCCTCTAGTGTTGCGGATGTCAATGGGCGTCGTTGATCACCTCGGTGTTCTCGCCCCTCTTTTCCCTCCTTTTATTATAAAAATATTTTTTTCGTTCGAAGGTTTTGTTTAGAATATCATTTGATGTCCCTGACTTGTATAAGACAAAGATTATATCATAATTATTGATTTTTAAAAGTATTCTGCATAAGACAAGATGAATATAAGGATGTTAATAATAACAAGATAAATGCTGAATTTTTTAAAAAAATCTATTTGCTTCCAGGTTATAGGACAACGTGAATATGCAGTGCGACCAACAAGACGGCCGTCGGAAGAACTGCAGACAGGACAGCCTTTAGAAATAGTTGTGCAACAGGTTGGTACTTTCGACCGTTCTATTTGCGTTTACGAGTATATCTCAAATACTAACCTTTGTATACAAAAGTAAAGGCGGCAAATTGTTAACTAGCATTTCGCCCGGCTTAGCATGGTTCCAAAGCTGATACAAAAATATATTTATTTACGCCAGAAACCACTAAAATTATCAGTATTTATTATACACTAGCTGTTACTCGCGACTTCATCCGCGTGGAATTAAAATAGAAAAAATGGACTTTGTTATTAAGTGATGACGTAGCTTTAGTGGTAAAATAATTTTTAAAGTCGACCCAGTAGTTTTTGAGTTATTGCAATACATACAAAAAAAAATCTTTTTTCTTTATAATAATAAATGTAAACCTTCTCTTGAATCACTCTTTCTATTAAAAAAAACCGTAAAAGATTCCGTTGCGTAGTTTTAAAGATCTAAGCTTACATAGAGATAGACAGCGGGAGCGACAATACTCGTCATCAACTTGTCCTTATCCCTTATGGAGGGTCGGCACAGTATGTGCAGCTCTTCCATACATCTCTATCAGCCCTCATATCTGAATCCACTCCTTTCTTAAGCATATCCTCTGTCACACAATCCATCCAATCCAATATTTTCTTCGGTCTTCCTTTTCCTTTGTAACCATCCACATTCATTCTTAACACTTTCAGGTTTATGTCCCCATCGTCTCGTCTTAACATGTCCATACCACGCTGACCTTTTGGTTCTCAATTTCTCCACCACTGGCGCTACTTTCAAACTTCCTCTAATATACACATTCTTAACTTTATCCATTCCGGGAGCGACTGTACTATGTGGTGAATCGGCACTAGTATATTATCTTAAGTTATAAATATCGTTAGTTATTTAGTACGTATTCTTATATTTAAATGATTCTATAAAATGCATTCGTTCACCTCAACCTTGATTAAACCGAATCAAACTGTATATACTTTTCCTATTGACGTCTATAATAAGCTGTTTGTACAATCACGTGCCGCAACTTCGCATGACAGCCCTGACCTTTGAACACTGTATCGTGTAAACAGGGTTGTCAATACGCAGCTTTTATGTCAATACAAAGTCTAATTTTAGTGCCATTGATTTTGTATACGAAGAGGGTTTTTTATTACCCTACCACCATTTCAGAGCTTCCCTAATGAAAAAGAAAAAACGATCAGTGTATCGCTGAAACATGAATGTTTATACTATAAATATTCGTAACTTTTAATGAATAATACAGTTTTGTAAAATATAGATATTCAAACTCATTTGGCCTGTGAATAGTGCTGCTATCGCTTTTGGTTCTGAAAATGAAACAAGACAAAACCAGATATAACAGAACGTTTCTTTTAATTTCATTTGCTTACGAGACCGGAAACATTTAAATTTCTTCTTGATTAAAAAAGCTGGGAAGGGGAGGAGATGGACATTAGATGAAAGGAAGAAATACTTCCAATTGACGTGTCTTCTGATCATGGAAAACGCCGGTTGAGCTATAGCTGCAGCTAATACTGTGGACTCTAAAAAAAACTGTCGCACTGCAATTAAGTTATCAAAGCCAATTATAGCGCTGCTAAATTAAATATAGGCTTTTATTTATGCAAGCTAGGCTGTATATTGACGTATTACAATGAGGTATATAATTTTAAAACCGGAATGTTGAGGCGCAGGTCGTAAGTTCAAGTTTTAACTGGCGACCTCGTAGTGCGTTTACTTAAGGTAAGTTAAGGACGTACGTATACGGTAATCTAGTAGTTAACGCTTACTCTCCGTGATATTAAGTTTTTAAAGAGACGTAGGGTTGTCACTTTGTCATTTTTATTAAGATTATTTTGTGACTGTTTTTTCAACTTGTGAACTAAGTTGCCAAAGTCGGTTATCGGTTATCTTTGGGTATAAAGTTGTAAATAAAATTTTCATAATCATGAATTCGCTTTATCGAAACATATCTTTATTTTATAGTGAGGAGAATAAGTTTTGAATAATAATTGTTTTTGTTTATTCGTGTCGTTACTTAAGTCATTGAGTTCCATAAATAAGAACTCGTCCGAAATGCAAATCCTCTCGAGCCACTTTTTCGTCGTTTTCACTCTGCCCTTAATATCGTCAGACGTGTTTGTAACTGTATAAGACAGTAACGGGCACGTTGCCACTAGCATTTCGATTGACTTGAATACATTTTAATAATTTAAATCAAATGTATTTATTTGAATAATTATTTAGTATACATAGTCTGTAGTTTACATGGGACATTTGTTTTGTAGTGTGACCGTTTTTAATTAGAGTGAATTGTAAATTTAAAACAAAAACTCACATTCAAGATGAAAAAGTAACCTTAAACCGGCTACACACCTTTAGTTTTCACTGTAATTTGTAAACTGAAAAGTTGTATTGTGTAGTTATAACGTTGTGTTCGTAAGGCACATTAAAAATCAGTTAAATCGTGCAATTTTCTCTACAGACACCTAAACACATTCAGTTTTACGACTTCAGAATATTTTTAAAACTGAAGATGTGTTGCAATCTTTATAACTAGACTGTAAAGTCCCGATTTATATCTATACTATTATAATAAAGCGTAAGCACACACTTCTTTGCTACCTAAGATGTCAGCAATTACAGCATATTTTTGAATAATTCTTTTTTTTAATAAAAGCACTACACTTACCACACGCTTTAGGCTATATATTTTCACGTCATTAAACTTAGGTTAAAAATCCTAATGTGGGAAAGAGATCATAAGTTGCTGCCAACATCAAGGAAGCAAGGTTGCCATGGTTTGTCATCATGTCATGTCATTTTGACATTAGCAATTAATAATTTGACACATATAAACAGTAAAATATTTTTTAATGATTTTATGCGGATGGAGTCGCACGGGGAGAGCTAGTCTATAATATTTATCTACTGTAATTAATTAAACGTCAGAGTAGAACGTTAATTAGCAAATTATTAACCCACACTGTAAGGATATCTCGAATATTCACAATATATATACGCGCCTTTTTTGTAAAAATAAAACAAATGAATAGGGAAAGAAAATTCTTAAAGTGGGTAATTCTTTTGTTTCAAAATTAATTACCAATTGATTACCATACAAAGGTTAATGTCTACATAAATCTCTTATGACATAACTTGCGATAGCTGCAACTTTGATGGGGCTTGGAGAAATTATGTATTTACACAGCCTTACAAATAAACGCGGTATAAAGTTAAACTTAGGAATAAACTGAGTATAAGCATAAGTAAACCTGAGTGTAAGGATAGTACAAATTTTGGAAAAAAATATACTCAATTTATTGCTAAGTTTAACTATATACCACGTTTATTTGTAAGAATGACAGGGTTTTAGTTTTACTGTCGCTCTGGACGTGATATCTAATACCTTTGGTGACTATGTCCGGTTACTGTGTACCTATCCTAAAATTCTGTATATATGTAACCTATACTAATATTATAAAGAGAAAAGATTTGTATTTTAGTTCGTATTATAATTTAGTCCCTTTTCCTTCCCGTTCTTATTCTCTCATTAGAATAGATTTGACGGTCCACCGACTCCTCCAGGAGATGCATAAGAAGGGGAAATGTTTTCTTTATGTGTGTCTGTCCTCCGTCGATTAAGAGTAGGCAACGCATTCACCATTGCGAATGTTTATGGGCAGTAGTCGCTTCGCCATTTTGGTGGATTCAGTTGGACGCTTGGTCATTTACCACCTTATGATATAAAAAAACTCAGAAACTACTGAACCGATTTAAAATCTTACACCATTAAATCTACGTCATCAGTGAGTAACATAACTAGGCTGTTTTTATTGTTTGTTTTTTTTTTTAATTTCACGCGGATAAAGTCGCGACTAACGGCTGGTTCTTATTTAAGCAAATGTAAGAAAATTACGTAAGATAAATTTCCATAGAAAATTAACATGCAAACTTTACACTTGTACAAAAAGATTATTTATGCATGTACTTGCGCACATCCTTGGCTTAGTCAAATTACATTCATAATTAATATTTCATTACAATAATTCAGAGATTATTCCGTCAAAGGTCGTATGTAAGGTCAAAAGGAAGTTTGCCAGACTTATAGAAGTGTTTTTAGAAAGCGTACGTTTTTGTTTGTATTTATTACAATTGCTTAAGAATATTTTAATAGCATAAGCATAATAATCACTTACCTACTTACTTAAATTATTTTACTAAATGTTTATTTCAATATTAGCTTTCGCCCGCGACTCCCTCCGCGTAGAAATAAAAAAAAAAACAAAAGTAACTAGCTCATGTGTTCTTCTAGACTATCCTCTACACATATGCCTAATTTCATCGAGATCCGTTTAGCAGTTTATTCTACAAACTCTAACAAACATCCATCCATCTAAACTTTCGCATTTATAATATTAAATAGTGTGATTATTTCTGTGATATATCTATACTAATATAATAAAGCGTAAACACACACTTCTTTGTCGCCTAAGATGTCAGCAATTATAGTATATTTTTGAATAACTCTTTTTAATAAAAGGCCCTACGCTTACCTTAAATTAAATTTTTATTATTTTATGCGGATGAAGTCGCATGGGAACAGCTAGTTTCATTTATAATGTCCAAAACTTGTTATTGAAGCGTAATTATGAAGTTGTACGTGCGGAATAATAGATTCAATCCTAATTGGGAAGGTAATTTAATGCCCCAACTTTACCCATTTTCAAATGAAATCATCCAGCGCGAGGTGGATCGTTGCTTCGTATAACAACATAAAAGCGACACGCTTCTTGAGTGCTATGTTTTTGCAATACAACCCGAGTTTTTGTGAAAATTTTACACAGTTTTTGTATCATAACCATTTGAAGATCCTGTTTTATTCGTTTTTCATTAACATTTAATTTAATCTGTCTTTTATTTTATATAAAACTTTATTTATAACTTTTAATACAAAAAATATATTAACACTTGCGTATCCGGCAAGCTGAATAAACTGCAAACGGCGGCTGTAGACTACGGGCATTAAAAAACATACCTATTGATTTTATTATAATAATTGAAGAGATGTCGTCCGCAAACTTCGTTTGCGCGCGAAAAAAAACGTCACATATCACATTCCCGCATGCATCTACCTTCTACCAGCTCTCTTTCAGTCAAAGTCCCGACCAAATCTGTCCACGCGTTCCAGAGATAGCGTCCGGTCGCCATTTTGACAGCGCGGAATTAAAAAAAATAGCCTATGTCAGTTACCTATTGTGAAAATCAGGTCGAAATCGGTCTAGCTGTTTAGGAGATACATAAAGTAAATCTATAGACAACTCAATTATATTGGACTCTTTTGATTGTAAAATAGACAATAGTTGAGATTATAATTCTTTCAAACATCCAAATTCGTGTAACCGTTCTGTATTATTCATCTATCTTAACTTTCGTATTTATATTTGTAAGATTAGTAAAGAAATGTAATGCCGCTAGACATTGGCTTAAGCTCCAACGGTGTCTACAGGTGCTTTAGACATCTAAGAATGTCTCAACAAACGCCGAGTGAACGGTGCGCCGTGTGCCGGAACCGGGAACCTGTTCTTAACTGTATCCCGGATGCTGTTGCTTGCGTAACCGACTGTACGACGATGGGTTCGACGGCCGACTGTGAAGCGAATACATGGGAGAAATGGCGCTCGGATTTTTGTTTTTTTTTTCGCGCAGGCAAAGACAACGGGAATATACAGCCAGTTACAATTATATTTCGCTTTGGATATAGATGTTTTGTAAAAGGCTATAAAATTATTGTTTTACTTATCAATGTAACGTATAGTTTTTTTTTAAATTTTGATGAGTGTTTAGTTAGTTTTACACATTATTGGTTGAAATTTTTTTGGCTATGAAGTAACGGACTAAGCAAAGAAGAGATATAATGGTTACAATCACACATGTGAATGTCATAATTAGAATGCGCAAGCTGGGCAAGTCCTGTCTTTTAATAGTCATAGATTACAAGTGATACTTTTTACAGACATCTATCGACAATTTTGTGACCATAAAAGTAAAAGTATTATATGAATATTAAATTGTATTGTAAAGACGTACTAAAACTAGGAGAGATCGAAAAGGTTACGGTCAACGAATTACGCAACAGATTGAACACATTTGTCTACATAAAATTACTCCGATTTTATCTGTTAAAATATAGATCGCGGTAAAAAAACACAATCTAATTTCTCGTACATTAAGCAAGCGTACAATTCGCCGAAAAAGTAATAAAACGAGGTAAAAGTAATTTTGTAATGTCAAAAATAATTTGTACACGTTGCTGCTTTTATCAGGGTTTCGTGATTGAAAGTGACAGATATAAATTGTTTTACACTCAGAGTGATCATTGAGAAAGAATATTAATGACGTTAGTTGATAGCGCATTGTTAGTTGTGAGTGCATGTACACAATCTATTTACCCGTTCAAACTACAATATTTTTATTTACTGTGTTTTCACTACTATTTGAGTAGTATAGTTAGACTGGGTTATGTGAGCCGGTGGGTATAAGCCAAACTAGCGCTCTCCTTTCAATATCTCAAAATCCTTTTGGTTCTAAAGCTGTTTTGTCATTTATGTCATTTTTACGTCTATGTATGTTTAACATATTTTATGAAAAATAACTGCGAAGCAGCGTCTCTGTCATCGGGCCACACTTCCTGGTTTGACTATATGTCTAATTAAAAGCAATACATTTTTATCTTCTATATATTATATATTACAAGCTTTCGCCCGCGATTCCTTCTGCGTGGATTTAAAAAAAAAAAAAAACAAAAGTGAGTAGCCTATGTGTTCTTCCAGACTATTCTCTACATCTATACCAAATTTAATCGAAATTCGTTAAGTCGTTTAGGCTATAAACTCTAACAAACATCCATCCATCCATCTAAACTTTCATATTTATAATATTAGTATGATTAGTATGATAATAGGATAGGTAATCGGTTGAACCCATCGGTCGATAGATCGGTGCGTCGATTCACAAAACGGGAAACACCCGTAATTTTCAAAGGTAATATTGCTTTTTGTTACAAAAATAAAAAAACTAAAACGTATTTTTATCTATACGTATTATAATATATGTGAAAGTTTTGATGGATGGATGTTTGTTAGAGTTTGTAGCCTAAATTACTAGATCGATTTCGACGAAATTTGGCATAGATGTAGAGGGTAGCCTGGAAGAACACATAAGCTACTTGCTTTTGTTTTATTTTAATATCATGCAGACGGAGTCGCAGGCGAAAGCTAGTGTTGTCATAAAGTATGCCATATTTGTTGTTTTTAACTAAACTAACTTTAAATAACATCTAAGAGTAAACACCTTCTTCTATCTTCGCCTTTTCGCAGTTACTTGGGGTCGGCCTTCCTTGTCCTAAGTCTCCAGACAGCACGAATCTTAGAGGCTTGTTCTAAGAATAAACGACGTTTCAAAATAATTGACGATCTCACGAAAAAAAAGCACAAAGTGTAGTTTGCACTGGTACAGGGTCCCTGCAAACGTATTCACAACAAAAAATCTACTTGCATTTAATATCTCAAAAAAGCACGTAATAGACCAACTAATAACATCTTAAGATTCAAATTGATTTATTACGTACGTACATGTCAGTAAAAAACGAAACAAATCAACAAAAGTCACAAAAAACAAAGAATCAGTTACTATGTACTATTTAAAACTACACGTTTAAAAGTAAAAAAGCAAGTAAAGATCAATTTAAACTGAAAGTGTGTAGCTGGTCTTATGTTATACGTAAATGCATGCGTTTTTCTATCTACTTGAAGTTAGCAACGAACTACGCAGTGATTGACGCTAGAAACTGATGACATATTCCTTTCTCTTTCGCACCTCTAGCTTTTGTATGTGTTTGTTTCGCTTACTTGTAATTCGAGGGCTAAATTCTGTCATCGAATTTTGTGACGTATGTTGCAATATAAAGGTCATTGCGGCTGTTTACATTACCTCTATCAAATAATTCACATCGCAAGTCGTTTTGTTTTTGACAGAAGGTCGGAAACGATTGTTATTTTTGCCCTTGGTTTCAAGTAATTTTATTACATTACGTATAATAATATTGTCTTTTTGACTTCATTTGTAATGTTTTTTGGTTCAACATTACAAACTTTTATACGACATTTCGTAAACTGTAAGAAAACTACAAAACTTACGTCTTACTGGTTCTACGTGTGAAAGTTTGGATGGATAGATGCATTTTTGGTAGAGTTTGGAGCCTGAACGGCTGAACAGATGTCGGTGATAGACATAGACGTAGAAGATAGTTTGGAAGAGCACATAGGCTACTTTTGTTTTTTAATTTCCTGCGGACAGTATCGCAGGTGAAAACTAGTGTAACAACATAAAGCTATATTTATATTATTTCTTCGACTATACGATTTCTCTAAATTATTCAACTAACTAGATGTTGCTCGCGATTTTGTGCGCGTGAAATAAAAAGTAAGATAAAAAGTCACCTATGTTACTCACTGATAACGTAGCTTTTTAATGGTGAAAGATTTTTTGAAATCGGCCTAGTAGTTTTTGAGTTACAAATGAAGTCTTTTCTCTGTTTATATTAGTACAGATTACTATTGTAGCATGGTATGGTCATGTTATGAGGAGGGATGAATCGCATCAAGGAGAACGTTAGGATGACGTTTTGGAGAACAAAAAAACTGCCGCGCCGACTCCACGGGACTGGGATAAGGAAGATGATGAATTAATTTATAGCAACTGTAAACTTTTTAATTTAAATGTAACTCCCAATTAATAATGTTTGTTTCTTTGTTTCAGTTCGATGAATTCATTCGATCATTACAAGTTGATCCACACTCGCCATTATTCAGGCTAGTTACGGACGGACAACCTCCTCTCAGGTGCGTAATAATTTGTAAAGTATTCGTAAAAGGATGGGCAGGGTAAATAAGTACAGGGAATAAGATAAGTAAAATGAAATAACATTTTCCAGTTTAAGGTTTATGATAAGTGTCTTCTGTACCCCGACATCTCAAGTTCGATAATTTTAAATGTCTCAAGTCGAAGAATGATTCTTTTCTCTTGCATTCTAAGTCCAATAACCACATACCGGCCCGTAACACATATACTATAACACACATAAAAAAGTAATTAAAATAAACATACCGATGAATTGACTACCTCCTTCTTTTGGGAAGTCGGTGAATTAAATAAATAAATAAAAACCTCTTTATTGCCATCCGAGAATACACACAGAGTTGTACAAAATAAAAAATATACATGAAAAAATTGTAACAGATGGCAAAAGGGGGACGCTCAGCTTAACCGATACTGGTTGAGATCCAGTGTCGAGCTGGTTTTCAGCCACCCCCACTTCCCAATATGTAAAAGGGAGCGTAGATAGTCGGAGGTCGCTGTACACTAGTAATAAAATAAGCTTAATAATTAAGCGTTCTAAGCTTGATTATTATAATAAGTGCCATCTTGTGTATTTTATGACAATACGAAAGCATGTGTACGGCTGTACTGCCCAAAGAGATTCAATAAATCTTTAGAGGAGACAGTTGACACTTCACTTGAAACATTTTTCACATAATCTCACCAACGTTATCTATTAGCCACAAAATCACATGTTAATATAATTAACGAGCTTACGCCCGCGACACCGTCCGCGTGGAATTAAAAAAAATTGAGTAGCCTATGTACTCTTTCAGACTATCCTCTACATCTATGCCAAATTACAGCGAAATCCGTTCAGCCGTTTAAACTACAAACTCTAACATTCATCCATCTATACTTTCGCATTCGTAATATTAGTATGAAGTATGATTGTGTTTAATCCAAATGCTTAAATTCTTAAATAGGTGTTATTAAACAATATCTCAATGTTTTTTTTTATTCTGTAATTCTATTTAGTTTTTTATAACAAAGGACGGAGCTTGTAAATTTGTTAAATGTTTTGTAAGGACACGAGGTAATAAATAAACAACTGATATTACCTGTCACAGAAAGTACCACTAAAAAATTTTTGTTCACTTTGCCTTGTCTATATTTTTAAATGTCTTTGGTTAGGCCATATAAAAGTGAACGCATATAACGGGTGTGGTAACGTTACGTATGCTGTCCACACAAGTAACACACTAAAGGCCGGCATTTCCACTAAACGATGTATAAACATTGGTGTCCGTTGTATCAATAAATTCCATACCTTTAAACAGTGTAAATTATAAGACTAGCTTTTGACAGCGACTTTTCGCGCGAAATAACAAAGCAGCTACATATAATAGCCTATATTCCTAATTTATAGTGTAATTTACTAAAAATTGTCCTGTAGTTTTTGACTATTTCGTTAAATTCATGTATTTCCTCCTTATAAGATCAGTATTAGAAATATAAAAATAGATAGAAATGTAAGTAGAGTTTAAAAGTTTATTTTAGAGCAGGCTTATAACTTTTTCGTTACGATATTTAGAAACATACTTCTCTTGATTAATTTGTAATTATCTTTTAGTTGGTACAACTGTTATTGTAATTGTTAATCTCTTGTTTTTCAATAAAATTATTTCTATTTCTATTAATAAAATCATCGTCATAGATTAATGGCTCTGAGAAATTTATGTGATTTGTGAACGTTTTGAAAGCCATAGAGTAAACGCACACATTTGACTAATCTATGGCCAACTGTTGTGCGATTGTCGATTGTTTCGCAGTACTAAAAGTTGAGTAGTGTATCTCGATAAAAGCTCATAGAAACCAAAGCGAGACGAAACAGTTGTGTGATAATGTAGTCGAAAATCTGTGCGCGTTTTTAGGAGCGAATTAATGACGCAAGAATGATTTTGGTGGAGTTATAAGCATCACCATAAAAGGATACGTAACACCTTGAAAGTATTCCTCGAAGGGGTCCAGTTCTTAAGTAAGATTTTGTGTCTAAAATATATCAAGAATATTATGTTTTTTAAGTTTTGCGTGACATAAAAAATCTTTATTATTTATGACTAGATGTAAAAAGCCACGTAACATGTATTTTCTATTAAGTATACTTATATAGAGAATTTTATTATAACAAAATTAATGTTATGTAATATTGAAAACATTGTTTATTACAATCATTATATTTTTACAGATTACTGAGTGAAATATTACATTATTTGTAACAGCATTTTAATGTCGCGTGCAAAAAAAAACATTTATTTTATTTATAGTTGAGGAAGGTTTAAGATTGTTGGTGGTTCGGAAGTTTAAGCGCTTCTAGTCAATAGATTTTGGGTTCGAATCCCGCAGTACTATTGTGATTTTCGGTTTTCGAATTACATCATCATACTAGTTAATGTTATAAATGTGAAAGTTTAGATGGATGGATGTTTGTTAGAGTTTGTTGCCTAAACTGCTGAACGGATTTCGATGAATCTTGTTATAGATGTACAGGAATATGAAAGAACACATAGGCTAATGTTTTTTTATTTAATTCCACACGGACTGAGTTGCAGGCAAAAGCTAGTATGTACATAATTTATCCGACGTTCTTGAAGGAACACTGAGATGCAACCTGCACATATCGGCGAAGAAATTCAAAGATATGTGTGAAGTCAACCCGCGGTGGGGCAGCGTGGTTGACTATGGCTTAGTCATCAACATAGAGTAGGCATAGCCTCTTAGCGGGGACTAACATTGAGTTGATGATGGGTTAGGTTGCATATGCATATCTTGCGACATCCGGTATTATAGTAATGCCACGTAGTTTTAAAATAGATCTTTTTTAATACAAATTTTTCTATTCAATATAATATGAATAGATACGGCATAATCTAAAGTGGTATTTACATAACAAGAGGTTTGCTTGCGTCTTGTCATTGCATCTATGACGTTTACCCATTGTTAACAATCAACGGATGCAAGTTCATATGTGTTGACTAAAAATAGTTCTTTTATGGCCGGTTTTCGAACAATTTTTAACCATTCTCTAGTGCTAATAGTTCGATTTTGAGTTTAACTCCGTCGAAACTTACGTTACCTAACACTGATAGTAAGTAGGTAACGATAAAATAATGGGAACTTCAGAAACCCAGCATTAATATTTAATCTGAAGTTCGGGAATTTAAATTTAGATATGTAGGTTTAAACCGCCTACATATCCAGTTTTAACTGTACAGTTAAAAGATACTTGAGCAGCAATAAAGTCTTAGAACTGTACAGTTTGACTGACAGTTAAGATTTTGCCTACGCAAAGTCCTAACTTAACAGTTCGATTACTTAAGATTGGAGTTCTGTAAAAGGCTTAGTTAAATCTTTTTCGTACGCAAGTTTTATATTCAATAGTTTTTTTAATAATTGGATTAGATAAATTTATGTTCCGTTTGATCGAATTAATTTAATGTTGCCGTTTTTTTTAATTCAAAGACTGATCCTGTATTAAATTGGATTCCAGTGTTTTAAATATACTAAATTTTGAATTGCTATTAATATGTTAAATAAGTAACGGTTTGGTGCAAAAAGGAGTCCAATATTTATTATTTTTTATGTATTTATGCTTGGAGCTTAACCGTAGATTCAAATGCCTCTCTTTCTTTCTCATTAAAAGTAGAGATTGCAATGTTTTTTGTAAATTTTTGGCAATAGACACTACAGTTATACTGATTCAAAGATTTTCATTTCACTTATTTTAGTCCTTTTCCCTTTCCGTCCTTTTTTTAGAGCAAAAGATGGGAAGGAAAAGTGAATTTGACGGTGGAAGAGACACATAGAAAAGGAGAAATATGTGCGTCACCTCTTCCTTTGATAAAGGGTAGGCAACGCATCCGCTATTGCTATTTACGGCGGATTCAGGTAACCGCTTGCTCGTTTGGTACTTTATAATATAAAAAACCTTTGATTCGTACATTTATAAAAATCTTTAATGATTTAATAAAAATAATGACGAGGAAAAAGGAAATGTATATATTTAATGAGGTAATAACAGCTAATTAACTTAAATACTAGTTTTTTAAAGATAAATTTGATGATATCTCTAAGCGAGAAACTAATTTAGGAATAATAATCATTTAGCAGCGAATAGAAAGGTCATAAGAAAAACCAACTTATTCTAATTTCTTAGAATGTATTAGAAAGTTCCTCTTATTACTAAGGGAATGTTTTAGTAACACTAAACTGATTCTGAGTTCAACAAGGATTTATTAAATATATTCAATGTGTTAAAATAATAATACTAATCATACTTCATACTTCATACTAATATTATAAATATGAAAGTTTAGATGGATGGATGGATGTTTGTTAGAGTTTGTAGCCTAAACTGCTGAACGGATTTCAATGAAATTTGGCATAGATGTAATGGATAGTCTGGAAGAACACATAGGCTACTTACTTTTTTTTTAATACCACGCGGACGGAGTCGCGGGCAAAAGCTAGTTAATAATAAAATAAAAAATTACTTTATCCGTTAAAATTTAAATTGATCGATTTTCGAAAGCTTCGAATTTTTATGACTCCAAAAGGTTTATTAGTTTTAATAGTAAAAATCTGCGCACAAACGATAGGGACGTAAGACAGACGTGTCAGGATTGAATGTGGATGGCTACAAAGGTAGAGGAAGACCGAAGAAAGTATGAATGGAGTGCGTGAAAGAGGATATTCTTAAGAAAGGAGTAGATTCAGATATGACGGCTGATGAGATGTATGGAAGAGCATTACATACTGTGCCGACCCTCCATAGGGATAAGGGCAAGTGGATGATGAAGCGCATACGCTCACCATTAACTAAACTACTGCACAACTGTTTAGTCTCATTTTAATTCCTCTGAGCTTATATGGAGGTACACTACTCGATTTTTAGTTGTGTAACTAAGCAGACACAACAGTTATGCGATAGTTTCGTCAAAGGTGTGCGCTTTATTATATTGCGAGTAGTATAGACATCGTTAATACAACGTAAATGCATAAAAATTTTAAAAATAAAGTGACCGACATTTATCAGATCGTGACTCGACAATCACATTAGAACATTCTCGACGCACGTCACTGCCTCATTTAATATAGCATTGAATTATTTAATATGGCGTAAATCGTGACTTTCTCTATCATCGTGAACACGGATAATTTTATCTTCCAAATAGTATTACTTAATTTTAAACAAGGATGAGTTAAATTTATAAGAAAAATATCCATTAATATTACTCGTACATTTACATCATTCTATTGTCAGTCATATATATTTTGACCGACTTCCAAAAATAAGGAGGTACTCAATTCGTCTGTATGTTTTTTTTATAACATAAGGTGGCAAACAAGCAAGCGGCCATCTGAATCCGCCAAAATAGCGAAGCGACCGCTACCCATAGACATCCGCAATTGCAGATGCGTTGCCTACCCTTATCCGACAGAGGAGACACACATAAAGAGGATATTTCCCCTTCCTATACATATCCTCTACCGTCAAATCCACTTCCCGTTCCCATCCTCTCCTTTATAAGAAAAGGGTGGTAAAGAGAAAGGGACTTAAATTAGGCCTTTAACTTAGATTGATAATCAAAATTTTGTTTCTATTTTTAACAAATAAAAGCTTTAAAATAACATTTTTTTTAATGTTTTTGTGTAAAAAGTGTTGTTTACTTTTTTCGAAACACAATGATCTTATATCATATATCTTGTTCATTAATTTACTAATATAATAAATGTATATATGTATGTATATATGGATGTTTGTTAGAGTTTTTAGCTTAAACTTTTGAACGGATCTTGAAGTTTGGTATAGATGTAGAGGAACAAATAGAGGCGTTTTATTATTTAATTTCATGAGAACGGTGTCGCGGGCGAAGGCTACTTTTAATAATTAGTAGAAGATATTTTGAAAGATTTAATTCTTGTATTATTTTGTTTGAATTCATAAACAACCACGATTGATTTAGCTCACGAATAATTAGACAGTTTAAATGCGTCTTCCTTTTAAAACTTTTTTTTATAACACAAACGCTATTGTATTGTTGATATCCGGTGAATATTAAACTTAGACATTTCCTAAGCGATGTGGCAAAGGTCACTGCAGTTAGGGTGACGGTTTTTTAATTGTACAGGTAACTGTCGACCAAAATTTAAACAAAATTATAAACTCGAAGACGGAAGTTAATTGGTTATTTTGTTCATTTATATATACGAGTGGTTTTTATGATGAAAATATATACAAATTGGTCAAATAAGTTGTATCTCAAAAGATTTATTTTATGAAAATTTAATATCCTTAAGAGGGTTAATGACAAAATGAAAATTATTATAATTTATTATTTCAATAATATGAAAGTGTTTTGGAAATGTTCCTTAAATTTAAAAACATAGTCACCCTACACCTAACAGACTACAATACAATGTTTAACAATCAATGTTAACTTGGGTTATTTTGGAAGGATTTAAGTTATACATAGATGCTACTTTTTACTACATGATAAGGATAGAAGAAGAGAAGAACTAACTTCTATAATAATTAGATAGTCACTAATGATTTTGACTGAGTATAATATTTTTACGGTAGCTAATTTTCCAATAGCAAAAGATTAACCCGGGATGTCAGGAATTGAAATATAATTTTGATTCAAAAATTAAAATCAACGCCATCTAGTGAAATAAAAATAACTAAATTTTACGCAAGCATAGCTGTATTCTTGTACACTTTATATTTGAAAGGAGAATTAATTATTCCTTAATTAAATTTTTTGCTTTATGTTGTGATATATATTGTTCGATAAAAAGTGTAAATAAACTACATAAATTACATTTGCACATAACGAAGGTCGTCTCAGAAAAAAAACGATATAATTCAATATGCAGAAAAAATAAATGTATCTCCGTAATTTTAAACATAAGCAAGAGAAATAAAAAATCATGTATAACATTCAATATCAAAATCTTTATTCGCTGCAATATACATTACTTGCAATATTTCCCAACAAGCATACAATTTAAATTTGACATTTTATTGAACCCTGAAATGTTTTTACACTTGAAGCTTTATTTTTTTAAAACGTAACATATAAAAACTCTGTAACCTCAAAAATCCATGCATATAATTGTGAGTTATTATTAAAATAAAAAATATAACATTGAAAATATATTTATTTTACAAGTGTTTCGAGTCTTACATAAGCTACTTTAGTTAGTTTTTGTTATGAAAATAGAGATTAATGTGGACTCATTAAAATCAACAGAGCAGTAGATAGAACAGTACTTGCATTGTGAATGATCGCTTACTGTAAACAAGTACTGCTCTGTGTACGTCTTCATTAAAACAATGTCTTAGACAGACCAGTAGTATAGAGCAGTACTGCCACAGTATACATTGCTAGAGTACTATTTTCACACGAGGACAGAACAATGGTACTGTTCTCGTATGAATCTTACTAATACTCGTATTATAAATGCTAAAGTTTGCGATGCGAAAGATCTTGAAATTAAGCATGGACCTAAAGCGTAGTCTGGATGACTACATAGGCTACTCACTTATGTTTTTTTTAATTCCACGCCGAGGGAGTCGCGGGCGAAAGCTAGTATAAAAAAATTGAATGGTGCAGTCACCTTAATTGATTCTGTATCCTACTTGTCACTGTCTACGAAGTCGATCGCTTGAATGTCTGGAAACGAGCATTATTCTATCTACATTTAACTTAAGCAACACTTAATGTCTCTAAGTACAACAGTTAATTTATATAATGTTTTCATTTGTTTTCAGACAATGCCTTCATCCTGAAGCATGCAGTAAAGAGATCAATTTGCCGACATACTACGCGCGCTTCCATGATTTACGCAAGGAGTATGTGCGGGCGTACACGCTGCGGGCTGTGGCGCCGCGCACACAAGCACCCCCGCCCCCGCCGCCCGACCACCCCGCCACCCTGCAAGATATGCTCGAATGTATCCTTTTATATATTTACTATTGAAACACGTTAATAAAATCAAAAACAATTAATTTTAAACAACATTTTACAACTATACGTAAAATATTTTTTTAAATAGTTGGTATCTTAAGAAGCAAAAGGTTAGCGTGGTATGGACATGTTATGCGCCGAGAAGATGGGGACATAAACCTGAAAGTTTAAGAATGAATGTGGATGGTTACAAAGGTAGAGGAAGACCGAAGAAATTATGGTTGAATTGTGTGAAAGAGGATATGCTTAAGAAAGGAGTGGATTCAGATATGACGGCTGATAAACATGTATATACATACTGTGTACATAAGGGATAAGGGCAAGTTGATTATGATGATGAATTGGTATTTTAAGTTACTATTTATTGTTATTCAGGTTTATCTGTGTGATGGCCACACTAGGCAATACTTATCGTGGCCACTGAAAACCGCTTTATTTACTTTGTCATCCAAAACTTTGATTGCTCGGAATTTTGCATGACGTTACATAAAACCACAGAAATCTAGATGTCAATTGGACGTATAGATATTTGGGAGCGTTACAACTTAGCTAATCTGATCACAAAACCATAAAATTAGAATCTTATAATACTAGTGATTAATAATATTCCTAAACCTAGTAAATAGATTTAGGTATAACTCCCTACACTGGTGAAAATTTCTACGCCGGAGAAGCAACGGACATGGCCAGCGTGATACAAAGGATAATCTCTGATGGTAAGTTTTCTACACGTATATTTATACTAATATTATAAAGAGGAAAGATTTGTAAGTATGTATTGAAATAACTCAAAAACTACTGGGCCTATTTCAAAAATTTCAAAAAAGCTACGTTATCACTGAGTAACATAGGCTATGTTTTTATTAATTTCACGCGGACGGAATCGAAAGCAACAGATAGCATTTCATATTCTTAACACTAGTTCTGTTTATACGTATGCAGAAAGTTTTCCGATGGCTTCATGACATGAAATAATCTGATAGTATTGAGTAGACGAAGGGGACGCAGTCATGGGAAAACTTAATATGGATAATAGTTCATCAACATTAAAATCATCACTTGGATCGCTTATGGAAAATTTGGTAACTAAGATCCAAGTTCTACAGTTCAGGTCAACATTGGTCATTAATTGTTTGGCTTATTTTTTTAATAATAAGTTAGTAATGCCGAAGAGCTTCGACCAACACCTCAAGAAGCTGTCGCTAGACAGTTGGATTAAGGGCCCGATTCAAAAGGCGGTTATTTTAGAAACCGCACGAATAGTGAGGAGGTTCCTGTCTCTGCAGCCCTGACCACTGGTTGCTTGAGTCATCGGATTCCGCAGCCGGTGGTGCTCTATTTTTTGTATAATATATTTTATTATATTTTTATATTCTTGTAAAATGTATTATATAGAGAATAAGAAATAAAGATATATGGAGAACAAAAATATAGTTAGTAATGCTAAATAATTTATTCTAAAATGCTTACATTTTCTTTTCAGGCTTTCGGTTGGAACTCCCTGAAACAATCGACTTAATTTTAGAAACTGGAATTTGGTAAGTTTAAAACATATTTATTTTGTTAATTGCATCAATTGACTTATTTTAGAATGATTTCCTAAAACCAAGAACGAAATGTCGAAAGTGTACTTAAAATTAAGTTATGTTGGTCGAGCGCCTGCAGAAATCATAGCAGCAAACTTTATTTTGTACAAATTGTAACAAAGTAAGAACAGGAGTCGTAAAGTAAATTGTCGGTAGATAAGTAAGTAACGGCTTGGCTTTACAAATTCATAATGAGTTTCTATTCTCAAAATTATTTGAATATGCTAATTATTCAAGAAAAAACAACCTCAAACTTCTAACAAAACATACATATTTATTTTCATTTGCACATTAAGGATAGAAAAAAATCATTAACGAGCATTTGTATGAAAAAACTTCGTGCCTTATGCCACAGTTTGAAGCAATATTTTTTTGTGTGACATTAACAAAAACGGTCATGTAATACAACCCCATGCCACTTGATGCCTTCGATGACCTGACCGAAAGCGACCCCTACCATGATATCCCGTCGCGGAAATAACTCGAAGCTATCGACATAACATAAAAGGTTAAATTTATTTAATTTAATGCTTGAGAAATAAAGTTACGGCATAAACTAAATTAATTAACAAACATTTTAAGGTTATCTCGTGTAGTTTTTTGTGTAAGTTAACGAAAACTAATTGTAAAAAGCGTATATATTTCTTATTGTAGTAATTTTTATTGTTGTTTTGAATTTGTGTAGTGTGTTAATCTGTACTTTATTGTTTCCCAATTACTTTATCGTTCAAACAAATTAGGACTCGAGCTTTGATACCACTAATTAGTGAATGAATGCCAATACAGATATCTATAAATTATTTTGTTAGTAAAGACACTGTTTGTATTATTACGATATTGGAAGTCGAAATAATATTAAAATGGACATTGCTATTAAACGTATATAAATACCCTTTAAAACTCCTCTAAAGGCATTTAAAGAAAATTCAGTTTTTAGGGATAGAACACAATTTATTACGTGAAAACTAAATATGCGTCTCTACATTTAAAATTCAAGTGTCTTTCGGACAGTATGTACGGTCAGCAAGAAACCCACTGTTACAAGTTAAGAATTTGAAATTCCTACATTCTTTTATTTTTAACTAGCTTTCGCCCGCAATTCCGCGTATAATTAAAAAGCGAGTGAGTATCCTATGTGTTCTTAAAGACTACATGCCAAATTTCATCGAGATCCGTTCAGCAATTTAGGCTACAAACTCTAACAAACATCCATCTAAACTTTTGTATTTATAATATTAGTAAAATCAATTATTTCGAATATTGAAAAATAATAGATCGAACGTTTCATGGTAAAGGCGATTCGACTCAAGCGCAACTCAACATCAAGGAGTCACGCGCGCAGTGGTACAATCGCATTCTCAAGTCGTCCACCGCGTCGTTCGGACGTCTCGTGTGCCGCTAACTTGTAAACATAATCAACAGAATAACGCTTATCACGCATTTTATGTTTTGAAACGCTACTAGCTCGTTCTGCTAATAAAAATCGCTGTAAATCGATTGTGTACTCCCGAGACTGGCGAAGTGTTTGTTCTGTGATACTGTACGCTTTCGGGACTGGCGCTTTTATCGGTGGTCGACGGCAACTTAAGATAAGAAGGTGAGTTATTCTGATAGCTTTAGATAATTAGTTCGCCTTACGACCGATAATGACTGCCAATAACATTCCAGTGCCTACAAACTGATTTAGAAAATTTCCTATCACATTTTATAGACATCTTTAATAAATCTCTTGAGAACGTATTTGTGATCCGAGAATTTATCAGGGTTGATTTTAATTAAAAAAAAAACATTTGCAACGCGGATTATTCGCAACCGTCACCCTGCTCTGTCCCCACGTGGGAAAAGATGAGAATAAAAACTTTCATCAGTCCCACCTTTTACGACGAGGCGACGGTTGGAACTTATTCTATTTTATAACGGTTCCATCTTTTACCTTGTTGGTGATAGTGGGACTAAAAGGTGGGACGGGTGAAACATTTTATACTCACGTGGGAACAGAGCTGGGTGACGGTTAGGAATAATCCTGCAATGCAAGTATTCATATTACACGTTTCCAATGAAATGACATGCTGAATTTGCGTATTCACTTTCGCAATCGCAAAATCATCATTAAAAGTATTATAATTGCCTTGTATTGTAATTTGACGACACTTGCTCCTGTTACAATGTACCGACGACTCAAACAAAACTTCCAACGGAATTGTAACATTCAACAAACACTGGCTTCGTTTGCTGACTGTACCCGCACATGTGCGATACTCGTTAAATTCTGTTGGTGTCGACTGTGACACGTGTTGTCTCAGTTTTATGTACTAGGATGTAAGAGATGACAATGTTTTTTACAAATCAGTGTAGAGTTTTGCTAAACTCAAAGCGAAAGGCACGCACGATATACGATTTTGGAATTGGTTTTCATCGTGCATTTTTTGTTATGATTTTATAACATGTGTATAGACCTTGCTGTACTTAGATAAAATAATTACAGTGGGCTTCCACTGCTAGAATTAAATTTGGTTCATTTTTGTCATAGATAATGAAAAAAATGAAGTCGGCAATAGAAGCCCACTGTTAGATTCTTTCTTCTTCTTCGTCCGGTCAATATTTTTGTTTAATTTATAACATACTTAATAAATATCTATACTTCTATACTAATATAATAAAGCGTAAACAGCCAATACTTTGTGGCGTAAGATGTCAGCAATCACAGCATATTTTTGAATAATTATTTCTTCAATAAAAAGCCCTACACTTAAGGCACGCTTTAGGTTATATATTTTCACGCTATTAAACTTAAGGGGTAAATAAATTGTAAAAAACCTTCACGTGGGAATGGGTCCATAAACTAAAAGTTGCCGATGTTATGAAAGCAAGGATATTATGGTAACGGTAATTTTGAAATATGTAATTGAAATTTGACAAATGTAAACAATAAAATGTAATATTCATCTGAGCCTTTTGGTCATAACTTATTAACTAAACATTCTAACTGCTAAGTAATTAGGATACATGATATCACTGTTTACTTATTCTAAGTTATCACTTAAAATATTAACTAAGATGTATGTAACACTGATAAGAAGATATTCCCGACTAATTATTAATTAAGTTTTTTAAAGTTTTCCTTAAAAATATTGTATTTCTATTGACCTTTTTGCCCTTTTAAAGCCTTGTATAAAATAAGTGATGTCAAGTCGGTTAACAAAAAAAAAATATTATGAGATGTGAATGTAAAAAAAAACAATTACGATGTAATGTAAATCTAAACGGAAGACGTTGATATAACATTTAGTAAAAGCAATAACTTACATTTTGCATAAATATCTTTATTTTTATAATATAAGCGGCCACCTGAATCCATCGCTATGGAAAGCGACCGCTGCCCATAAACATTCACAATTGCAGATGCGTTGCCTACTCTTAATTAACGGGGGAAAAGAAGCACATAAACAGGACATTTGCCCTTCCTATGCGTCTCCACCGTCAAATCCACTTTTCCTTCCCATCCTTTTCTCTTAAGAAAAGGATGGAACGGGAAAGGGATTAAAATTAGGGTTCAGGCACCACACTCATCAGACGAAACGCGGAATTGCTTTCACTTCACGCCTGTTTTATGTGTGGCCGTGGTATTACACCGGGCGATCTATTATTTGTTGATTTAAAAACTAATTTTGTAGTGTATTCCATACTATCTATGTTCAAAATTTGATCCAATGATTCAGTCTTTTTAGAGTTATGCTAACAAACATCCATCCATTAAAACAATCATCAGCTATAAGTCTACAATGAGCTGGGAGCTATGTAAGAGGTGACTAGGCCACAGACCACGCTAACCCATTGCGGGTTGACTTCACACATATCTTTGAATTTCTTCACTGATATGTTCAGGTTGAAGTACGATGTTTCCTACGCTGTGTATTTGAATTAATACTGTTATTAAGATTGGTAACTGGTGTACACAGTAAAATATGATTTTATATTATTTTTTCTCATAATTTTCAATCTTTGTTAATAGTGAATCAACCAACAATAGAAATGTGATTCGCCCGATATGTTTTGGCTCCACCAGCCTTTGTAATCTAACGTTCTAACGTGCCGATTGTTTTAAAGTAATATCCATTTATAATGATCGTTTAGTTTTTATATTCATAAAGCTTATTTGGATAATAAAGAGCGGGAACTTGTATTGATGGGAACCGAGCGACGTAACACTGCATTGTTTTATCCCCCTGTTTTGATTCGTACCCGTCGCCATTTGCATTGTCTATGGTTGAATCAAATCATGGAATATTTAAAAAGAAAAAATGACAACCTCCTTGATTCAACAGCGTTCGAAATTTGAATTTGAAAGTCATCGTTATAGACTATTTTGTAATTTTTATTATTCAAATAGTTTATATAACTATGAATTATGATAACACTAGCTTTCGCCCGCGACTCCGTCCGC